TTCTTTGTCAGATTCCTGTCATTACTTGTTTGTGGTTAATACTCTGTTTTCTCTTGGTGTTTTTAAGATTTTATCTTCTGTTTCCAGCAGTTTTACTATGCTGTGTTTATTCTTTATACTATATGTGTTCTTAGGAACGTTTGAATCTGTGGCTTAATGTCTTTCATCAGCTTTGAAAAATTCTAGGCAATTATCTCTTCACTTACCTTTTTTCCTGCCTTATTTTTCTACTGGCACTCTAGTTACATGAATAATGGATCATTTTACCATGTCTCATATGTAAGTTCTTTCCCTGTCTGTGCTTCACTGTGAATTTTTTTAATAGATTTTTAAATTTATTTATGTGAGAGGTATAGGTACAGACAGAGGAACAGAGAGAGAGAAAGGTCTTCCATCCAGTGGTTCACTTCTCTGATGGCTGCAACAGCCAGAGCTGGGCCAGTCCCAAGCTGGGAGCCAGGAGACTCTTTCTGGTCTTCCATGCGGGTGCAGGGGACCAGACACTTGGGCCATCTTCTACTTCCATCCCAGGCCATAGCAGGGAGCTAGATTGCAAGAGGAACAGCTGGGACACAAACGGGCACCCATATGGGATGCTGACACTGCAGGTGGAAACTTAGCCAACTGTGCCACAATGCTAGCTCCCCACTGTGAGTATTTCCACTGACTGACATATCCCCCATTTCACCAGTCCTCTTTTCAGCTATGGCGACTTTGCTGTTAAGTATATCTTCATTTTGATTATTACTTCAAAGTTTTTCATTTGATTTATTTAATGGTTCCAGTCATCTGCTCAATTTTTCACTTTGTATCTTGTAAATTGGTGCCCTGATTATTTTTTCACCTGGGTTTTTCATTGTATCTTCTGGAATGTTTAGTAATTTCTAATAGTTTATTTGACATTGAAATAGGAAATATAAGATAATTTGAGACTGATTTTTCGTTTTTCTCCTCCAGAGGAGATTTATGATATCCTACCAGCAATGTGTATTTCCTTTTCATTGGTCAGAACTGTATCCTGTAGCTATCCTTAGCCATTCTCTCTGGCCTCAAAGGAGTCTAGAAAATGTCATATTTTGCTGGAATTAAAACTGTCCCCTCCACAAAAAAAAAAAAAAAAACAACTATAAAAACACTTGTTTTGCTATAACCCCAAATCTATAAAATTATAGGCATAAGTAAAATGAAACTTCAATGTGAAAAAAAAGGAATAATTTTTCTAAATGTTCACAGATTTGGGTTTCTGATAATTTGGGTTTGAAATAATTTAAAATTTTTGTTCATTTTCCTAAAAGCAACATAGTACAATAATAGAAACTTTGAAAATCTAGAGCAAAAAAGAAAATCTTCTGAAATCCTACCAACCAAAGCTAATTTCTGTGTATCAGTAGATGATATTGTAGAAATTACAAATTTATATTTGTACATAAATTTATATTTTATTTTTTATTTTGTAAAAATTTATATTTTACTTTGTAACTTATTTCTTTTAGTAAGTATAATGTACATATTTCCCTGTTAACATAGAATGAGGTGTTTTTTAGTTTAGAAATAATTTTCTTTTTTTTTTTTCAGGTTTATTTATTTAAGAGGCAGAGTAAAAATAATTTTCTTAATTTAACTCATAGTGCCCTTTAATTTTAGTGTTTCACCCTAATGGTATGTGTCTTGTGTCTGCCTGTTTCATACTTACTCTTTTCTTGACCACATTAATATACAATTATGTTACTGTTGACTAATACCCAGGGAATGTTCTATTTACCAGTCCGTGGGAGTAATGAACATATTAGGTAGGCTCTGACTCAATGATAATGATTCCTGGTAGAATCATATTAATATTTTTATTTCCTAGGCTTGAGTGGATATAGTACTGTGATTTTAATTGTGAATAAAATGATTTTACCTTTTTCTACTCTATTTTAGTATTTTTTCATTGTTTTAGAAATAGAGATCTCCTGAGAGTTGATAAGTGCTTTGTTAGCATATAGTTTCTATCATGAAATAATGCATACTAAAATAGTAAAACTGTTCTGAAGAGCAGATGTTTGTGTATTTGTCAAGGCTTCTAGGCTTCTTTGATAGGCAGGTAACAGAATATACTGGTATAACAGAAAACATGATTGAAAATTCTAGTTGTGGGTGGGTGTTTGACGGTAGTTAAGTCACAGCTTGGGACACCCACATCCCATATCTGACTGCCTGGTTGAGTCCCAGCTACTCCTCTTCCGATCCAACATCCAGCCAATGTGTACCCTGGGAGGTAGTGAATGATGGCTCAAGTTCTTGGGTCCCTACACCCCAAATGGGAGAGCCAGATTGAATCCCAGGCTCCTGGCTTCCTCCTAACCAAAGCTCGACTATTATAGGCATTTGGGAAGTAAACCAGCAGATGGAATATTTCTTTCCATCTGTCTCTCTTTCTCTCTGTCTCAAAATAAAATGGAAAAAAAGAAACGCTGCAGGGGCCAGTGCTTTAGCGCAGTGGGTTAACACCCTGGCCTGAAGCGCTGGCATCCCATATGGGCACCGGTTTGAGACCAGGATGCTCCACTTCCAATTCAGCTCTCTGCTATGGCCTGGGAAAGCAGTAGAAGATGGCCCAAGTCCTTGGACCCCTGCACCCGCCTGGGAGACCTGGAAGAAGCTCCTGGCTCCTGGTTTTGGATCAGCGCAGTTCCAGCCGTTGTGGCCAATTGAGGAGTGAACCAGCAGATAGAAGACTCTCTCTGCCTCTCCTTTCTCTGTGTAATTCTGACTTGCAAATAAATAATAAATAAATCTTAAAAAAAAAAACAACACTGCAAAATCCTAGTGGAATAATACTACAAATTATTATATACCGTGGCCCTTCAAGGTCACTATTGGATAGGAGAGGTTACAAGTATTAAATATAGGAATAACAGGGGCTGGCGCTGTGGCACAGCAAGTTAAAGCCCTGGCCTGAAGTGCCGGCATCCCATATGGGCGCCTGTTCGAGACCCACTGCTCCACTTCCGATCCAGCGCTTTGCTATGGCCTGGGAAGGCAGTAGAAGATGGCCCAAGTGCTTGGGCCCCTGCATCCATGTGGGAGACCTGGAAGAAATTCCTGACTCCTGGCTTCGTATCCGTGCAGCTCCAGCCTTTGTGGCCAATGGGGGAGTGAACCATCGGATGGAAGACCTCTCTCCCTCCTTCCCTCCCTCTCTCCCTCCCTTCCTCCCTCTCTCTCCCTCTCTCTCTCTCTCCCTCTCCCTCTCTCTCCCTCCCTCCCCCCCTCCCTCTCTCCCCCTCTGCCTCTCCTTTCTCTGTGTAATTCTTTCAAATAAATAAATAAATCTTTAAAAAAATACAGGAATAACAGAAGACCTAGTTTATAAATTGTAAATTATTTTATAAATATTTGTGTTTAGATTTTTAGTGGGAGATTTGCTTAATTTAGTTTCAGCTCTGTTTAGCTGCTAACTTTACCCTTGTTGATATTTTCATTGCTTTAGAGCTTGGATTTCTCATGCAGACTTTTATATATTAATATCCATTAATTTTTACTGCTCAGCCGGCGCCGCGGCTCACTAGGCTAATCCTCCGCCTTGCAGCGCCGGCACACCGGGTTCTAGTCCCCATCGGGGTGCCGGATTCTGTCCCGGTTGCCCCTCTTCCAGGCCAGCTCTCTGCTGTGGCCCGGGAGTGCAGTGGAGGAGGCCGCAAGTGCTTGGGCCCTGCACCCCATGGGAGACCAGGAGAAGGACCTGCTCCTGCCGTGG